ACACACTTTTGGCAAAACACTACATTCTGATTCAAGACTGTAGAAATGAGTATTAGAAAACCAAGCCACAGTAATCCACTAACTGAAGAACTAGTATTTGAGAATCTGTGTTCCAAATTTCTTTCTCTGAAGATATTGCCAGAACATCTTCTCCAAACTCTTACTACTTCTGTCTTTATACAGGCTCAGATCTGAGAGCCTGTGAGACGTGACTTAAGCTTTTCCTACTACAGAGACTTGTCACTGACACCCCACAGACTTATAAAGAAGGGAGGGTGCCCCAGGCTAGGGTCTGCAGAGGGTTCACGGTATCTTCAGCCTCTCAGGTGGTTCCTATTTCACCATGCACCCTCTACAGAAATATACTACAGACACAGCTTATGACAGAAGAGTGCCTCACAACCTCCAGAATGGACACCCTAGTGCGCTCCTGATTCCTCACGATGCCAAATGAAAAAAGAGGAGTGGGTACCTCCTGTTTTACATGCTTTGGAAATTACCAGGAGAAACCACAGCGGTGCCTAGAACTCAGCATCTGCAGTTCTGAGACTCTGTGTGTGTTAGCTTATTCTAGTTTCCACTGTGACTTTCAGGAACACAGACTGCTGGGATCTTTGCTACCCAGTGAGCAGCAGCAGTTAGCTGCGACAGGAAGATGATCTCCCGAGTCCTTCCAGGCAGGTGGACATAAGATGGAGCCACCTGGATGTGGACCTGGATGATGCAGGCTGTGGTTCTGAGAGGAGTGGAGATGAGGAGTGATAGGGACGGCCAGAGGAAGTAGGAAGGGGACCAGGAAGATGAGAGGAGCTCAGTGGAGCAGGACAGTTGACACACAGAGTGAATACTGTCACCACATCACCTCCTTCTGGCCACTACTGATCAGGTGCCACCTGGCCAGACAGACAGGCCCTCAGACCAAGGAGGGAGCTGGTGCTAGTTGTAGCTTGTTGAGAGCTGGATTAAATACTCTTACATCTATAGACCACAGGAGCAACACTGCCTCTCCAGACAGGGCTTCCAAATAACTTTAAGTTCTGGACTAGTTACAGCTCAATTCAGTCCTCAATTCATCCATACCAAACCACATTTTAAACAAATTAAATAAATCCCCTTCAGGTCACTGCTTCAACACTCCCTGTCATCCCAGCCTAGTGGTTCCCAGCTGTGCTCTGTAAATAGCTTCTCAAGTTCATTGCGCCCTGGACCCTCCACTGTCCTTTCAGATGGATTGAAATATGTCACATATACACAGGTAGAGAGGTCATTCTCAAATGACACTAAGCCATCTGACTTCCAGTGTGTGAACTATTTCTATGACAGGGGCACCCTACACTTGACTACTTTAGCAATAAAAGTGTGTGTGGCTCATTGTTTAACTGGAATATTTAATCAATTAAAGTCTCATTTATGATAAGGGTGAAATGAGCTAATAGTACTTTATAAATGGTAACTGAAAAATACAGCCAGCACAGTGGTAACAAAAACCTTTCATAAAATTGTGGAGAATTATGACTCTTTGCCCATACACCTTGTGAAATTACTAAGCCTCACATGAAAGCACAAATCACTCACAGAACTCTCTTCCAAGCCAATAGAACACTAAATAATCAACTTTAGAAAAACTTAAAACAGTGTAAGATACTATGGAGCTATTTTTATTCTTTTATTAAAATTTAAATTCTGTAAAACTACATAGCATTTTTCCAGAAGAATAAAGTTATTCACTTTTGTTATCAAAACCAGTCGCTGCTCACCACAAGCCAGGGACTCTCCGAAGAGAGTCACCAAGACAGATGTCTTGAGCTTACAATCTGGTCAATGGCAGGTCTTCCTGCAGTGACTGTGGACACCTTTGCTCCAGGAGCAGAGATTTCCAGCAGCCCCCATGTTTCCTGCCTCTTCTCTCCCTGTGCCTCCAATATTTTGCAGTGTTCAATATGTCTGAGAACCTTTTTGTGAGACAAAACAAATCAGCATTTTGCTGTCATAGCCCACAGGCAGCAGTGGCTGTCTCCCACTTAATATGCCTGACTTAGCTTCTCTGAACTAACCTCCACGCAATTCAGGCCCTCTGCAAATGCTTTCAGGATATGGTTTTTTTTTTTTTTTCCCAAATCATTGCCTCCCACCTTAGAGGGACAGTCTGGAAATAAAACAGTTAAGTCATCAATTGGGTAAACACAATCAATGTTAGAAGTCCAGAATCAGCCGAGAGAACCTTCCAGGGAACAGGGCTAAGCAGATTAAGTTGCTCCATTACTGAGATTGATTTAAAATATTTGGGGCTTTGTCATCACATCTACACAATTTCTTGTAAATGCTCGAAGAAAAAAAAGGATCTGTTCGATGGATTTGCTAAAGCAAAAGTTTAACGTGCACAGTAAAGCAATGAATTGTGTATTTTAATAATAGATGCTGAAAAAGATGTTTTAAATTTCCTGGTTATGGATTTTTAAAGGAGATTAGTTCCAGAGCAAGCTGAGGCTCTTGCATCCAGGACTCAGGCCCTTCTCTGTGGGGCCATCAGGGGGTTTAGTATGCACTGCCCATGTACAACCTCCTAGACAGTTTTTACACTGTAGTAGCACAGCCACCTGGGAAACTCTGTCTGGATGCCTATTCCTTAAAAAAAATTTTTTCCCCATTGGGTGCTGGTGGCTGTCACTTAGAATCCTTGCTACTTGGGAGGTTGAGATTGGGAGGATCACAGTTCCAGGCCAGAGCAGGAAAAAAAGTTTGTGAGACCCTCCCCCCCCATTTCAAAAGAAACAGGCTGGGTGTGGTGACAGGCTTGTCATCCCGTGACAGTGGGAAGTGTAAAATAGAAGGATGGAGGTCCCCAATTGCCTGGAATTGAGGAGACCCTATCTCCAAAATAACCAGAGAAAAAAGGGCTGAAGGCATGGCTCAAGCCTAGCAGGCACGAAACCCTGAATTCAAACCCTAGTACTGTCAAAAACCAAAATGCTTCCTTTGTAATAAAAACAAAAGTGACTGTAATTTTTTTATTGTAAGTAACAACAGCAGCACCTCCTACATGCTGAACATCTAGTGCTACGCACATCCCAGTCACATCTCATGGTATTCCTGGAAAGCATTAGTGTGTCCTGTATTGTCCCCACTTACAGCAAGCACACTGAGCTCTTGGAGCAGAAAGCACTTGCTAAGGTCGTGTGGCTGGGCAGGGTCTCCTGTCCAGTCCCCGTGACCCCACAGCCTTGCTTGTGACCACTCAGTGTTCTCATGCCCAGCCAGACACGGAGAGCATCCCACACAGTACAAGGGATGCTGGGCTGCTTCATCTCAGTGACTCCCTCAGGTGGGGACCAGGGCATCAGGTGACCACCAATCCTTAGGGTTCACTCTCCTGGGGCTCAGAAGCAACTGGGCTCTAAGCACTGAGCTGATTAAGATGAACACAGGCTTCCAAGGTGACCGCCTGGAGAGCCTCATCTGGATGTGCAAGTTCCAGTGTGTCTACTACAAAACATGGTACCCAGACACCAGGACAAGGTGGGCTGTGGAAGAGAGTGTTGGTGGGGGAGAACTCAGAAAGGAGCCTGAGGAAGCTTCTTAGGGTGGCGGAATGTGCTCTGCATCCCAACTGGGGCGGCATGGCATATGCATGGGTCAAACTCAAACTGTCCTTACAATGTGCCTTTCACTGTGTACAAATTATACCTCCCTAAAAAACAGAAGTCAGGACTGCAGTGACACTATGATGTGAGGAAACACGCACTCTACACACCTGTCTGCTTTATGATATGCAAAGCCCCTGTGTGCAGACTCCTAGCTCAGAAATGCATAGTCCTGATCTTCCCTTGACTGGTGACTTGGTGGGTGACCTTGTGGGCTCAGGCCGGGAAACTGAGAAGCACTTCAGCCACCTCTCAGCCTTGTCTTGTGCTGGGACTTGTGAGCAGACTATGTTCTGATTTGAATTTCTAAAGACTGTCCTGGACTTAAGCATCATGTCTTAGCTTTGTGTGAACAAGTAGCTCATTTAGCCTTACCATGCACCACCTGCAAAAAAAGTCAGTGCTCAACTCAGCATATCAGGGGTGAGGTGCCCCAGATTTGTATGCGGAATTCTACATCCCAAAGTGATGATGGTAGGAGGTGGGGCCTGTGGGAGGTGCTGGCGACATGCACCTGGGTGGACCCTTTGTGGATAGGACTGGCACCCCTAAAAGAGGAAGAAGAGATTGGGTCTCTCTGTTCTTCATGTGAGGACACAGCTAGACGACAGAGTGCAAGCTGCGATCCAGACATGGATCCTATCAGACACAGATCCGCTGGTGCCTTGGTTTGGACTCCTAGACTCCAGAATTTTGAGAGCAGATTTCAGTTGCTTAAGTCTCCCAGTTGGTGGCACCTGGCTGCAGCATCTCCAATGGACTGTGACAGGGTTAAATGAGGTAACAGACTACAAAGTGCTTGGAACAGCGCCTGGCTCCTAACAGCAATCAATACCCTGGCTCTTGTGATGATGAAGTCTCACTGGCACAGAGAGGGATTCTAGGCATTAAAGGAGAGAGCTTCTCTCTCAGACTGTGAGTGATTAGTCATGGATAGAGCAGGAGTCTTCTGGAGCCAAAGCACAACCAGTGTAGAAAACGTCCAGCAAGGCAGTTGGAACACCAAGTCCCTCTAGCTTCTGTGGAAAGGTTAAACTCATTATTCCTACTCTCCATGCTCCAGGTGAAACAAGGCCCCTTACCCCTTGGAGGGGTTGCAGAAACAGTGCATTAGCACCCCCTGCACTTATCCACTTCCCTTCAGGAAAGCACCGTACACCTGTCACCCGGGAGTGCCCTACTGACAACCGAATGACCTCTGAAGCTCCATCAGTCTTCTCAATTTAGCAGAACCTCAGGAAACTGGAGTTTAATTTATAGTTAAAGTCAAAGAAAACAGAATTAAAAATCAGATCCTCTATGTAGCGCCAGCAGCAGCACCAGTGCCCACGCCCCTCTCCTCCACGCCGCGTGCCTTACCTTCGTACAGCCAGTCGCTGAGGCCGTTGTAGATGACGCCCTCCTTCCCGGTGGAGACCACACGGATGGCCTGCTTCCCAACGTGCGCGCAGTAGTAGATATTGTTCTCAAAGATGAATATCTAATTTGGAAAGAGAAAACATCATCGCATTGACCAAGGAAGGGATGTAAATAGGGCGTTCTGAAATCAGAAATCACCAGGAGGTTTCATTCCCCTGTTGTGTTTATTGCATTGAACAACGGTGGAGTCACTTGAGGTTCACCCATCTGTAACATGACCTACGTTTAAGGATTAATCAGAGCCTCGGACTCCACAGAGGTCACCAAATGTTACCATTGTTTAGTGATTTAGCATCCAAGTCACCAGGCTTGGGCAATCTGTGGTCTGCTACTTTTGGATACTTTAACATCAAATTGGATTGGATATTTTAACAATGCAGTTTTTTTTCCCCGGGAATTAAGATTGTGGGCTGGGGCCCTGGAGGTTTGGGTTCACTCAGCACTCACGAGGAGCGGTGTGGTGAACCCCAGGTGCCGGATGGTCTTACTAACTGGTGAAGCGAGCAGTTAGACTTTGACCAGGACAACGCCTGGTGTGGAGGCTGTAGGTCAATGACAGGCCCTCACAGAAAGGCTGGAAAAACAGTTTTTCTGACTGTCTTCACCACCTTTAAACACGACATTGCTCTTAGCAACACCCTCACTGTTGTGCAGCCATCACCACCATCCATTCCAGAACATTCCATCCTCCCAAGCTGAAGTTCTGTCCCCATTAAATAATGACTCCTCATCCCTTCCCTAGTCTCCAACACCCACCACTCTCCTGTTATTTTCTGTTCCTGTGGATTTGACCATAGTGAGACCCTGTAGTGCAGGCAGGCCTGGGACTCCCATTCCTCCTGCTTCTGCCTCCCAAGAGCTGGGAGGCATGCATCGTCACGCCAGGCTTAGGTGCCTCATGTGAAGTAGGTAGAAGTTTACATTATCTGTGGCTGCCTTACTTCACTCAATAGAATGTCCTCAAGGGTCGTCCATGTTGTTACGTGTGTCAACATTTTGAGAAAGAGTTTCAGCTGAGGGCTGAATGACAAGTAAGGTCGAGAAAGGAGTTGAGAAGCTGGAGCAGCAGAGAAGAAACCAGAGGCAGGTGCAGGCTTGGGCACTGAGGAAACTGGAACCACACTCCCTGTGAAGTGTCCCGTCAGGTGTGAGAAGAAGGGGAGATAAGGTGCTGGAGAGGCCAGAGGCCAGCTCTCAAGGGTCTGCAGGAAAGGATCCCAGCGGCCCCAGGGAGCCCCTGACATAGGTCTGAGTAGGAGGGCAGCAAGTTCAGGTGCAGCCTAGGGGTGAGTCCTGCGACTGTGTGGCCAGGGAGGGAAGTGAGAACCTAGCAGGGAGTCATGGAAGGGTGCCGATGCTAGAGATGGAGGGATAGAGAACAGAGGTCATGGCCACGAATGAAGGGACAAAGTCATGTTCTGGCAGTTCTCTCAGGCAACTGGGTGATGGCAACCCACTGGCAGAATTGCAGTGCAGTGTAAAATACAATAATTTGCCCTTGACCACATCACTGACTCTTGGGAAATGGTGAGGAGTTTGAGCCAGACTGAAGATTCTCAAATTTTGTTGCCTGACAGATGATCTGTGTTTTGAAAAGTCCCAGTGCCCAGTCCACCTGCTCAACCACATGGATGCTCAGAGCCTGTGGGGTGGGACCCGAGCACCAGCATTCAGAGAACATCCCTAGTGATTCTGATGTGCAGCCAAGTTTAAGACCAGTGGCCCAGGGACTAGCTTCTCTCCAGCCTCTCTTAAGCTGTGAATTAGCCTACACAGTAAGTGTGTTCTCCGAGCCATGGTCAGTTCTACTCCAAGTTTTCAGCATCTAAATTCTGCCTACATTCCTGTAGGTACTTCACAGCAAGTTGCTGGTATTCCTTTGCAAACACACCATATCTGCAGACATTGTTACTCAAACCAAGATCAGACTAGAACCCCCTTTTATTAAAAAAAAAGAATTCTAGCAAAAATGCTGTCAGAGTCATTTTAAGGGACTATTGAGAGAAGGAATTTTGCACAACACAGAAAAATGGCATACGTATTGAATGCTGTATATTGAAAGCAGAGCAAAGGCAGGTTCCCTAGGCTGTTCTTGTGGGAGGATGGTTCTGAAAGCCCTTTTGATTGTTAGTTTTCTGCTCAGGCTTCTAGCCTCTCAAAGTGTTCACTTCAACCAGAAGTGAGCTGGAAAAACTTTCAGAAGCAAGCATATATCCTAATTTAATTTCAGCACCTGTTCTTTCTTATGCGTTTGCCTGAGGGTAAGATGTACTCCTGCATTTTAGCTTCTTTTATGTGTTCTAAGCCTGTAATGGATTTTTGAATCAAATCCAGCTGTAGTCAATTAATATTTTGAGTAAGTACAATTCACAGTGATAGATATTAAGTCTTTTTCCATTTTGACTGTACCGTTAATGGAAGACAAATGAAAGACTGAGCTGTACAGAGGAGGGCTTGGCTTGGAAGAAGCTTCACATTTTCCATTTGGCATTTGGGTGAAGCTGTCTGTATCTTGGGTTTGCAGAGCTGGACATGCAAGGTGAGGACATGTTGGGGTGCTGAGCCAGGGCAACCAATAGTGGGTTGCTTTTCATCTGCTGTATGTGGAGCTGGCAGAGAGCTCAGAGTGTCTCTAAGTGACTGCAGCCCACGTGATCTGGACATGTCTGTGCACCATCTCAGTCCCTCAGCCCAGCCCATCTGGATCTTCTCCCAGCCTTGGCTGGCTGCAGTTAGTGCTCATGGTCTCTGACTTAACATGGAAGGAATAGGCCTTTTAGCCTCTTTACCTTGAAGGTTCCAGTCTACACCATTTTCTTAAGGCATTCTGTTCTTGAGAACCTAGGATCATTTCCTGTCACTTGAAAACAGTTTAGTTTTCTAGTCTGGAACCCAAGGCCCTCTGTGACCAAGGTCAATACTTGTTGCCAACTCTTTCCCTCCTGCAGATGTGACATCTTGAGGGAACTGAGGACCAGGCTGTCACCTGTCCACAGGAGCACTCTTCATAAGAGGTAAAAGCTGGGTTCTACACAGCTAAGTGTGCTCCAGGCCCCGAGTCAACACCATGTGCCTGGATCATGGTGGATGCACTGCACCACCTAAGGCACTTGCTGACTTTCATGGGCCTCAGTTTCTTCATCTGTCATTAAAGACAACAGAACCTCATCTTAGGGGTTGTGCAAAGTGAGTGAGCTGACAAACTCACAGCACTTGAAACAATGCCTGGCATACAGCAAGAACTCAATAGTGGATTTGTTGCTCCTACAACTTTGTCATAAAAACTATTGTCTGAAGCTATAAGCAGAGGCTCTGTGGGGTCATGCCATCTGACCCAGCCCAAAAGAGGTGACACTTTAAATTTTGATCGGGTCAAATTTACCCATTTTCTTTTTTTCCCCATTTACTCCCTGTTGTGGTTTGGATATGACTACCCTCCTGAGGCTTCTGTGTTGAACGACTGGTCCCCAGCTGGTGGCGCTATATTGCAAAGTTCTGGAAACCAGGAAGTGGGGCTAGGTAGAGGAAGCAGGTCACTGGAGGTGGGTCCTTGAGAGTTGTATCTTGTCTCATACCCTCCATCACCTTTCTCTTTTGTCCACCATGAGGTGAGAACCTCCTCCACCCCATGCTGCTGCTGCTATGTTGTTCTTCCTGTGTTATGGGCCAAGTGACCGTGGACCAAACCCTTGAAACTGTGATCCAAAATAAATCTTTCCTCCCTTAGGTTACTTCTCAGGTATTTTGGTCACAGAGATGGGAAAAGTAACTAATATCCTGCCTTTGGGGTCATAGGTAAGAATGTATTGCCAAAGCTGAAGTCTCAAAGCCACCCTGTGCTTTCTTCTATGATGTTTATAGTTTTAGTCCTTATAATTAGGTCTTTGGCCCACTTTGCATAAGTTCTACATGTGTTGGCTGGGCACTTTGAAAATAATTTATAAGCATTCACTCCCTTTCTCTTTAAGATAACTCTAGGGTAGCTACCATAGTTCTTGCTTTGCATAAGATGAACCTGTGGCTCAGGGAGGTTAAGCTGTTCCCTCACCCCTACTCAGGTAGCCGTCAGTGGTGGGCCAGGCTCCAAGCAAGGGCACAGGTCAGCTAACGGCCTTGCCAAGCTTAGTGAACAGGGAGCCAGGATGGGGACCTAGACAGTGGTTCCCAGGAGCAATCTATGCTCTTGCCACTTATTTGGAAAGTTGTGTTTTCTAACCAGAAATGTTCCTGAGACTGTGGACACCTTTGTGAGATACACTGTCACTCCTTACATCCTCTATAGCCACCTCTTCCATGTTCAGAAAGAACCTCATGCCAGAGCTCACACTCACGGGACACATGGAAAAGAGCACATATATCACAATGTGGCCATCAAATCTTCCCAGCAGATGCAACAGCCTTGACAACAGCCAGGCCCTTCCTACCCTCTTATTCAGGTTTACTCAAGAGAAAACCTTAATCAGGGGCCCCAGGGTCAGTACCCCATGACCTCTGACCTACACTGGCCTCAAGGCCTTTCCAACGGCAAAAGCCCACTGTTCCAGGCTGCTGTTCATAGGCTCAGCTATCAGCACCTGTTGGGGTTGAGGGGCTGCTGGCCTGCCCTCTGGGTGGCCTGCTCCTGTAGGCACTCAGCCAGTGGCTGCACCAGTAGACGATCTGTGGCCTTGCCATGGCTCTAGCACACAGGGCCTGGCAGAAGCTGTACTGAAATGACACCCCATCCCATTTCACTGCTGGACTGTCTGCCAGGCTTCAGCCTGGGGGCCCTGAACTCCCAGGAGCAGAGCAAGAGCCACTTTGCCACCTAACTATGGCTCTTGCTTCCAGAAAGCTTCTAAAAAGTCTCTGCTCAGGCCTCTGAGAACTGTCCTCATGTGGTCAGTTCTGAGTATCCACTAGCACGCAAGGGGACACAAGCTTTTCCAGTCAGGCAGAAAGACTCCAGGTCCACTTCTTCCATGCTGCAATTTCCTGTGTTCCTATCTGGAAGTTCTGCTTTTGGGCTCCTCACTGTCCTGGAATGCTGGGGTACATTCTCTCCCCAATCCCTTCTTTCCC